ATATATATATATATATATATATGTCTGTGTGTGCGTGCGTGTTTTCAACTTCGTCGTTCTGTGCATGAAGGTGCGTGCCCATTTTTATTTGTATACATCTATGAAAGGCATAAAATGTTCAGTTTTTTCCTCCTTAAGGAAAGCGACTAGTGCAGTCAGTTTGAACACAAAAACTGTAGTGTTCTCTGCAAGCGAAGAGCTCCAACTAAAGCATATGCATCAAACGTCTATCAGTGAGAGGGTTAGTTGTATCGGGCATCTTTCACTCTTGTATATGCAGGCTGGTGAGCATAAACACGGTTCCTTTTGTACTCAGGCCACGCACTTTCTTCGTTTTTCTGTTCTGCATGAAGCAGTCAGTGCACGACAAGCAGCTCTTCTGCAGCTCTCTATATGTGGCGCTTTACTGGTCATCCGTGCATGCATTCAATACACGCTTGCAGGTTGGATGCATTGACTACATGCATGCAGCTTGGGTGCCTTCACTGCATGCAAGCAGCTTGCATGCATTCACTACATGCAGATTGCATGCTTGTAACGAAAGCAGAAAGGCCTTCACAGGGCTTTCAGAGGCGTAGAGGGAAATGCACAGCCCCTCAAACAGCCATACAGCTGGTGCAATGAGAGGCATAAAGCTGAGCAGAGGGCCTTTACGACCTGCAACATATTCGGAATAAATAAAATAATAAGAATTCTCCCAATGCGGCTGAAGGAATTCCCTCCCGTTTCGTACAGTTCTGGGCGCAGCGGCACGAGGACATGGGGTTGATGGCACAAAGAGGAGGCAGCAGCTTCTGTCAAGAGTTGCAGCAGAATCACTTCTTTGCTGGAACTTCTGCTGCAAGGCAACCCGCAAGCCAGCATTAAACACAAGCCTCTTTTTGTGAATGCAATGCCACTCCAGGCAGTCGTTGAACACTCCGTTGGCACTGAGTGGCCAACGCGCATGCGAGAACAAATACACCTACCAACTTCTGACAGACTATGCATGCTATATAGCAACGCTCGGCTCGTGTCGCCTGGAACCGTACGGGAGGACAGGTTTAACGAGAATCTATTATGAGAGCACCACGAGCTACAACTGAGCCAAAAGCCTCAACGTAGAAGTTCCTAAAAACCAGCTGATAACCTTTTTATCCGGCCCGCAGATTTTCTCGGCATAGCTGCCCAACGGTCTGTTGGGGCTTGTAAAGAGGAGGCGATCTCAGATGGGTTGCAGCTCACTTCGTTGCAAGCCATGCTGCAAGGCACCTTCGTTGCAAGAACAACCGAACGTTTTTTATGTTCGGCACTAAGACTGTACGCAATCGTTGTAGTTCTGATGAAGTGCAGGTGGCTGCCTACTAAGGCCAAGTAAGGCTTCATCGAACAACTTTCGACAGACCATGTTACATAAGCTGCTTGGGGTGAACTATTACTTTCTGATATTTTGTAACTAGAAGGGAGAATAAGGGCTTAGTAAGAGTAAAGCAAACTAAAGTAGACAAAACACAGGCACAGAATTGGAGCAGTACTCCTTCACTGATTTCTAAAATACTTGCCGCATGCGCCTTTTCGTTACTTGTGCACCTCTGAATAACTGGAAGGTGTGTGCAACTAGCGCCCAGGGTGCTGCTAGCTTGTGTTAAGGGCTAAGCTGCATCTTATTGCACTACACATTCTCTTAACAAGGTATTAAGAAGCAAATAAAAAGCAAAAGAGAACAAGCAAGACACACAGATAGGCAAACCACGCACGGGGGGCTGCTGCGGCACAGCCAAGGCTGCGGCTCGATCTTGGCGCTTTCTTCGGGGAAGCTGCATCTGTTTTGTTGCTGTTGTTGAATTTATCTTCATAAATTACTTTGAAGAGGAGTTTCAACCGCAGTAAAATAAAATATAGCCTCCTGGGGTCGTGTGTCGCCTCGTCCATACGGTGTTTCGCTTGCGCGTGCGTGCGCCGTCGCTGTGTATGTGCATGTTTCTGGATTTTTCGTCCCCTGCACAGCGCCTTGGTTGTCTTCTTTCGATTTTGAGAGGGAGATTAAAACCAAAATGCCGGGAGAAAGACTGCCGCTAGGTGGCCAGGGGGCCCACAAGACCACCAATGCGCCTCCGCTTCCAGCTCATCGTACGTGGGCTCCACGATTTAGTGTTGGCTTAAAACTTCTTCACTCTTTTTGCTAAACCCCTGAAACTGATCCTAAGCCACCCTTCTGCTCTGCCTCCATTCCGCTGCAGTGTATGATCATTGGCTGTATTGACGCCGCAAGCCCTGTGTTCAGCTCGCAGCAGACCGCTCCCTTCAGATGCCGCCTCCTCCTTGTTCAGTTTTGCATTTCTGCCAGCTTCTTATTCTTTAGTGTGACTGAAGAAAAGCATCTGCAGCACAACAACGACGACCCCAGGCAGTAGCTGGGAGTGGGATCATACCTATGAATGTTATTGTTCCTGTGTTTCATCGTGTGTGCGTTTGTCTTCTCATTCCCAGTTAGATGACATCTGTGCTGTAACTTGTGGCTGTCTGTGGGTGGTTCAGGATCCCCCTCTGGGCGTCCGGGTGGCGGTGCCTTGCCTACCGGTGCAGGTGGCGCAGCAGGAGCCGCAGCAGCGGCAGGTGGGGTTGGTGCGGGTGTTGGATTGCCTGCTCATTTGCGGCGGGGGCGTTCTTTGCTGGTGTTGACGCAAGACAATCAATACAAGCTGTCAGCTCCTCCTGCTGACCCCCACGGCGCTCGCTCTCCTTCTCGTGATGCCTGGCGTCCTACGATTACAACGGGGCCTGCGCAATCACCAAAAACTCCAGGGGAGCGCGAGTTGGTGGCCCCTGCTTCGGGGGCTCCCCAGGCGGCGCGCCAGCAGCAGGGGTCTAGGCCTGTCAAGCGGTTCAGCTTTCGTGCGGGGGTGGGGCTTTCGATAGACGCAAGGAGTCGGCAGCTTTCAAGGCGTCTGTCATCTTTTGGGATGACAGAGGGGAATGTGTTTGGTAGTTTAGCTACAAATGCGCCTTCGGAAGCCCCCCCTTCTGTTGATGCGGTGCTGAAGGAACAGGAGACAAACGGGAAAGTTCACCTTCATTCCGCCGACCTCTTTGAACGGGTCTGTTTTTTCCCCATTTCTATCTTGTTCGGCCTCCCTTGATTGTCCTTTTTCTTCTCCTGTTCCAGCTGTGTTTCTCCGGGTCTCTGCCTCTTTTCTCTCACTGCAAATTCGCTCTGTGTGTGTTTGTGTGCTTGCGTCTTCTGTGGCGTGCTGCCTGAAGGGCTTTTGGTGGGGGGCATTCTAAATTCTTTTGGTTTCCTTTGTGTTTGCTGTTCTACACAAAGAGCGAAGGGGTGGTGGCCATCCAGCACCCGCCCCGTCTTTGCTCGTTTTCACTTGAAAGGGCTGATTGGTCTGCCATTTGTCTGTTTCGGCTTGTGGAGACCGCAGAAGATATTAGTTCTTCGTGCTGGCTCTGTTTGCGTGTATTGTCACTCATCTTTGTTTTCGCGTTCGAGCCTAGAGGATAATTTTTTAACTTAATGGCATTTTCAATATCATTCATTAAACGCTTTCCTTTGCTATATGGAAACTGGAGACCCTGCGGCTTGCAGGGAGTTAGAGATCCCGTTTGGCCGTTAGGGGTGTAAAGCTTTTGCAATCCCTCATTGGGGTTTAGGGTTTAAGGTTCAGGGTCTGGTTTGGTGTGTGGCTGGTGGTGGTGTCTTCATTTGCAGTCTTCTCCCCTACAGCGCCTGCGGCGGGCGTGGCGGTGCACATTGCCTTCAGCTCTGGAGAGCACACAGCTGCGGCTGGTAGAGGCAGATTGCCCTGTTGAACATCCGTCTTTGCGGCAGACGCCGGAGGTGCAGCAACAGCTGCGGGGTTTCTTTCCTGCTACCTTTGGGAAGAAGTACGTTGAGGTAGTGCCTGGCATGGGCAGCGGGGTCGCCTCCCCTAAAGAACCTCTCGATCACCCCCTGTCGAAAGCACTGAGAATTGGAATTGTACTAAGCGGAGGACCCGCACCCGGAGGTCACAATGTCATCGCTGGCCTCTACGACTTCGTCAAACAAAAACACCCAGAGTCAATGCTCGTCGGATTCATGGGCGGACTGGATGGCGTCATGAACCAAAACTATACCGTAAATACAAGCACCCTTGTCACAACAAAGCACACTGTATAAGCTGAGCCAAACGTGAAGGCATGCGATATAATCATTTGTGTAGTTGAAAGGTCCTGTATAATGGACTGGACCTGCGAATGCTCAGCCTTTCTTAGGCGATGTGTAATTATCGGCTCACAAGTGGCTATGAGATTCTTCAGCAATCCTGGAATTGTCACTCTTAACTATTATCCATTAAACAGCAGGCGTGTTCGGTGGACACGGGAGCGGTTTAGCTGGAACGTCGCTTAGTGGGTGGTGTATATATGTATGTCCATATTTATGTATATATATATATCGGTTGCGTTGAATTACCACGAATATTACTAGTCTGCACTGGGCCAGTGCATTTTTGTATAAGTGCAGGCCCTGCTCCTGCCAGTTTTACGCAGAAGGTAATTGACTAAATTTGTTTGATTGATTCTCCTATTCCCAGTTTTGTAGCAACGGCTTGCTACAAGTTCCATGCTCCGTTGAAGCTGACCGTTCTGCTTACACCTAACTCACACTCTCTGCAGACCCTGCACGTAAAGTATGCACTCCAGAGCATTAAGTTGTGCAGGCAGGAAGCAAATGGCGTTAAAAAACACAGTTAAAACTCTGCTGGGGACACTCACGTTTCATTCGACAACGACAACGGCAAATTCTAGACTCCAGAGCCTATAGGAAGCCGTGGTAGCTGCCGATTACCTTGTGCGTTGGTTCGTTCATTTGCCTGTTCATTTGCCAGTATTGGACTGCCTATTTTGTGCGTACTCAGATGCATATCTCCTTATGTGTTCGGTGATTTCGCTGTTAGGTGGTAACTGAGGAGTTAATGGAGGATTTCAGGAACCAGGGAGGCTTCGACATGCTCTGGTCAGGCCGAGGACGCGTCGGGGGAGAAGAGGATATTCAGCGCGCAAGGGAGGTGTGCTAACGCACAGAAATGCGTAGCACGCATGCATATATGCATAGTGGATCAGCACTTTTTCCACTCGATATGTGCCTGTTATAGCTGCCCATTTGGGTGAAGTGTAGGCAATGGACCGACAAAATCATGCACAAAATGTGGAAAAGCTTCCTATGCATGCACCCTTTTTGAGCGACTTCGTAGATTTGGCTTTGATGCTACCCTGTGGGTTCTGCATGCGCTGGCTGTGCCTAGTAGTTACCTTGCATGCACAAACCGTGGCCTTGATCATACATTTTGCCTTGCTACTATTTCGTGGTGTAGGTCTGCGAGTCGCTGGAGCTGCACGGGTTTGTCCTTGTGGGGGGTGACGGTTCAAACAGCAACGCGGCGTTGCTGGCGGAGTCGTTTGAGAAGGACTTACCGAGTTGCTGCGTGATTGGAGTGCCCAAGACGATTGACGGGGACCTGAAGAATGCGTTGATTGAGGCTTCCTTTGGGTTTGACACGGCAGCGAAGACATACTCGGAACTCATTGGGAACTTGTGCATCGACGTGAACAGTTCACAGAAAGTTTACCACTTTGTGCGGGTTATGGGACGCAGCGCATCGCATCTGGTCTTGGAATGCGCAATGCAAGCCCGTCCTAATTTGGTCTTCATTGGAGAAGAAGTGGAGAGAGAGAATATGTCCCTTGAGCACATCGTTCAAGAACTCGTGGACCTAGTTGTCAAACGCGCAGAACAAGGCAAAATGTACGGCGTCATCCTCGTCCCTGAAGGTCTGATTGAATTCATCCCAGAAATGAAACAACTCATTAAAGAACTCAACAGCGTTCTCAAGGCTGGACAGGTGCGTATGCATCACCAACCGCTTCCGGCAAGATGCAATGTACTGGGCATTCCGTTTGCTCAGCAGCTAGTGAAACAGTCATGAGGTAGTATCCTCATTTACAATGCTGCGTATTCAAAGGGAGCCTTATTTTACCAGATGTAGTACGAATACTACCCCTCCACCTGGTATAGAAGTTGCGTGGTGCATTGAGCTAGAGGCTGGCTTAAGACATAGCATAGCATCGGGGCTGCCCTTCCACTTTCATTGCCCACGCAAAAATTCGCGCTGAAGACTTCATTTTGTTGCGGGAGCATGAGCTGGCTTGTCTGCGTCATCAGCCCTTTAAGCCAGAGCTGCTGAAGACAACTCGCGCTGTTTGGGATTTCCTGCCTGATGTCATTCAAGATCAACTGCTCATGGACAGGGAGAGCACAGGATACATTCAGGTGCGCTTTCCAGAGGCTTCGGGCTTCCATTTCACTTTGAAAGCAACTTGCAGACGACACGACTTGCAGACGGGAAGTCTGCAAGTCGTGTGTGTGCAGACACACACGACTTGCAGACTTCCCGTGTAGCACAACAAATAGCCCTTTTGGGTTAGGTTTCACTTTAGATTTAAGGGCAGAAATCAGCAGTTGGCAGAGGGCACATCATTCTCTTTTGAGGAGTAAGAGTAGAGCTTCTAGTTCAGTTTTGCTATTGAGGATAGGGAAACCACCCTCTACCGATGAGTAACATTTGGTCCGCGGTGGATTTGTCCATCCGCAAGAGGGCCTCGTGCCCTTTTGCGAGTCTACTACATCCCCCTCTCTACTCCAGCTCAGTAACACTTCTGAAACCTCAGCAACAGAGTAGCGCTTCTGGTATAGGAAGGAATTTCGTGCTGAACAGTTGGGATGTCTGTTGCAGCTTGCGTAGGGAAATTGATTAGTGCTTCCCTAGATCATCGTACATCTTTGTTGCCATGACTGCCCTTTTAGGCAACCTACCTAGTGAATGTGAACATGACAGATGTTCTTTGAAAGGATGTAAGTGTGAGGACCTTTGTGCAGCTGCGCGTTGAGTGTTCTAGGCAAGTGAAGATATTCGCATGCTTGTCCTGTAGCCAGGTTTGTTCCTGTCTGTACAGGTCGCGAAAATAGCAACCGAGAGGCTTCTGATTCTTCTTCTGGAGAATGAGCTGGTCAAACAGGGCAAGGATCCGGAGCAGTGGAGTTTTATGCCTCACTACTTTGGCTACGAAGGCCGGTGTGCCATGCCTTCAAACTTCGACGCAAATTACTGCTACTCACTAGGCTTCGTCGCAGGTACGGTTTGCCGAGAAAACGGTCAGATAAAGTGTGTCACTGCGCGGGCTGCACTGGAGCCATCGTGTAAGGAGTGCGTGTTGATATTGCATGATGAATCAGGCTTCTTCTGTCGGCATGGTGTGTAGATCGGTTTTCGCATCAGGTGCACTCGTCGACAACAGGAGGAACGGGTATATGTCTGTCGTGCGGAATCTGGACCAGCATCCCACTCTGTGGACACCAGCAGGTTTGTATGACTTCACATCGAACTGTATACGGAAGCATCTCGTTCTCACGCATTAACTGAAGAAGACGAAGACTTACACCGAACTAGCGGATAGTGACCCGTTGGCTGTTGGTGAAAGCTGGACAGGGGGATGTTTTTGTATCTTTTGGCCACGTTGGTTCCTCATGCGCGTACTGCTGACCTGATGTTCAATGAACTTTTGTTGAATTGCAGGTGTTCCGTTCACGACAATGATGTGCGTCAAGGAGGACGCCAAGGGTGTTGCTTTCCCTGCCATCACGCGTTCCTTAGTGGACCTTGACGGGCCTCTCTTCAAGGTTTTTTGCGAGGTAGGTGTGCTGCAGAAGTAACGATATTGCAGCCGATGTACTGAAATTTGCAATGCAGTGCATCAGTTGAGAGCAGAGATGAACGTGCGCACTGAATGCCTCTCATGCTTGGGGGGTAGCACGCCATCCTCATCAGGAACGATTCAGAGAGCCAGACCCTACGTTAGCATTTCTGGGTCTTTAGGTAGTCTTAGGGTGTTAAGATTTTGAAGGCGCCTTGAACGAAGAGCCCATGCCACATTTGGTCGTATGCACTGGGTGCTTGTTTGGATTGATGTGCACTGTGCGTTTAGGCTCGCGAACACTGGAAGTTTGGCGACTATTATCGTGTACCAGGGCCGATTCAGTTTGAAGGACCTACTGCAGACGAACCGGCATACGCAGTATCAATTCCAACAAAGGAGGAGCTCCTGCACCAGTCTGAGGCTATTTGTCATGTCGGAGTGAGTCTGATTTCACGGAAAGCGTAGCCTCTGTCTCATGGCAGGGGTAGGCCAGCATTCTAGGGTCAATCCCCTGAAACTCCCAAACCGTCATCACGTCAAATGGGGAAGGGTCGCTTTCTTATCTGGGACGCTATTTTCAAAACGGGGGGATGCTGCAGGCTGGGCGTTGAATTTATGTGCTTGTGTGGGGAGCCATGCGTATGTTTAGGTTGGAGGGCGGGTGGTTAAGAGCTTCGGATTTCTCAGCGCTCTGCAACGCGAACGACTGACACATCGGCCGCCGGTGCCTCCGCTATGCCTGGATCCAAAGTGCAAGGCAAGGCCGATGAAGCAGGTTCTGTGCAAGGACCCGTATACCCAGCGTCAGGTGCTAATGCACTATCCGTATTTGGCGAACAGCACATTGTTCTACCTTCATGAAGTGGCGCACGATAAGTACACTCCGCCCATCAATTACGGCCTCCGTGTAGGATTTGTTCTGTTGTCAAGACAAAGTCCTGGGGTAATGAACGTTCTCTGGGGTCTTCACGAGCGACTGAAGATGGTGCAGGGGAAGTGCTTGGCTTTCTTTGGTCTGACGGGATTGATTGAGAAGAATTATATTGAAATTACGGATGAGAATCTTGAACTGTTCCTGAACCAGGGTGGCTGCGAACTAACAGGACGCAGCACCTCGCATTGCTTGGGGTCCGTTGAAAACCAAGAAGCCGTGAGGCAGCGCTGCGAAGAGCTGATGCTGGACGGGTTAGTCATGCCAGGCTCGGCGTTCGCCATGTCGGAGGCTGCACTGGTTGCCGAGTACTTCCTGGCTCGCCAGTGCCGCACTTCCATCATTGGTATTCCCGCAACAGGGAGCAACAATTTAGCTGGCGAGTTCATCGAGACGTGTGTCGGCTTTGACAGCAGCACCAAAGTGTATGCGGCCCTCATCGGCAACGTGCTGACGGATGCCGCCTCCATGCCCAAGTACTGGCATTTCATCAGGCTCATGGGCAGGCAGCCGTCCTTTGAGGTTCGCTTCCCTACACGATTAATGCTGCCATCTATTGCCATGCTATTGGAAGGAGCATTTGGTAGTTCTTACACGTTCCTGAACTTTCTGGGGGATTGCTTGTGCATGCGGCTTCGCTAACCGCTGCCGAATTGCTCAGGTGTTGGAGTGCGCATTGCAAACCCATCCGAACGTTGTTATTATAGCGGAGGAATATGGAGCTGCTGACAAGACACTTCTGCACGTCGTACAGGTATCTGAACCCTGGCACCTTAAGAAAACAGAGCAAATCAAAACAGCCCAGCCGAAGCAAATTGGTGCATGACCCAGCAGTTGGTGTTACATGAGGGGTCATTTGCGTGCTTCTCTACTATATTTCGGGGGTTGACAATAGCAGTTTAGTTCATTTTGGCAATAATGTATTCAGGACATCGCAGACGTCGTCTGCCGTCGTGCGGAGTTGGGAAGGAACTTCGGAACGGTCTTGATTCCAGACGCGCTCTTGATGCACTTGCCGAACATGAAGATTCTGTTGGCAGAGCTCCGAAGAATCATCAGAGAGGCCCAGGCAAAAGGAGAGATGAAGAAAGCCCAGGTATCGGTCGGAGCTAGGTGGCAGAACAATTGCTGCCGCTCGGCCGAACCGCATCCGCTCTACTCATTCTCCCCAACAGGCCCACTCACGCCGCAGTAGACCATAGGACTAGCGTTCAGCGGGATTAACGTGATTCAGTTAGATGGTGGAGTTTGTTACTAGTTGGCCCAAGAGTATTTTTACCTGCAGATTGCGCCAGTTTAACACATGGCAGATACAGTTTTCACACTGCAGTCGTTCTACATACGCACCACCTCAATCTGAAGCGTCCTGGTGGCTCCTTGATGAGGTTTGTGCGGCTGTGTGAACTTGGGGATGTGAAAACAGCAACAACTTATGGACGTGGATAGTTGGGCGGCAAACGAACCGGACAGCTGGAACTGGCGACTAACACCTTGGAGCGCTGCCCTGTTCAAGACTTTCCCGAAATTCATCCGCAGAGAACTCGTTCAAGTGGACATGGGGGAGGTACGTTGTGGGCGTGTTGACATCCCCCGCAGCAGCAATTTTGTGGCAGTTCCTGGATAGAGACTACAGCTAATTCTTCCATATTATTTTCTTCCCTCGTCTCCCATTTACTCAGATTCGTTTCGAACGGCTGGAGACGGAGGAGCTATTGGCCCAAATGGTGAAGGAAGAATTGGAGTACAGGGCGTCCGTAGGTCGCTACTGTGGCAAGTTCCAGGCGGTGACGCACTTCTTCGGTTACCAAGGACGGTCTTCAATGCCTTCGACTTTTGACGCGAACCTCGCATACGCTTACGGGTGTGTGCACGTCTGGGCAGCGAGTGTGATGGGTATCAGAGTAGTTACAAAGAACGGCGGCATTCGTACCCGCCGCATTCCATTTCCCTAAGGGCTCTTTGAATTATATATAGTCTATGCATGAATGCATCAAGGAGCTGTCGGAGCGGATGAGACTGAAGTCGCAGCGGGGCGTCATTCAGCCCGTGATCATATGCTTGTTGCCAAGCAAGCTCGGCAGCTTTTGTGGAGTGTTCTGCGCCTGCAGGAACCTGGCATCGATTTTAGTGGAGTCAGGCGTGACGGGCCACTGTTGCAGCATCCGCGGGTTGTGCGGCAATCCAAAGGAATGGCATCTAGGCTCTGTGCCTTTCGTGTCGCTGATGCGCCTTGTGCCAAATGTCCAGGACAATCCAACTTTGACTGCCGCAACGCAGAAAACAGGCACATCGGCCGCAGATGGAGTAATGGACCGCACTTCAAGGACACCAAGTGTCACTGAGCAGCCAGTTATTCCTAGTTCTGAAGTCAGCCTTGACGGCAAGGCCTACAGGTACATCTTGATCACCCGTGAATGTAAATTTGCAGCCAGATATGTCTCACAATACGGTGCCGTTGAGGGCAAATAGCAACCCTTTGAAACAAGCCTTGGGTGTTAAGCCCACCATGTGGGGGAAAATGAACAGCCGCATCGGTAACGACTTACGGACAAGCGGACACTGCTGCAGCAAGTGACTGTATGCATATGGATTCTCTGCAGATGGATGAAGACGGCCTTGGAACAGTGGATGATGGAAGACAGGTTCTGCAATCCGGGGCCTATTCAGTTTTATGGTGCGTCACCTGACATGAGACGTCAGCCCCCCTGTGTGCTTTGGCTTCAAAGGGAAGATACCCAAGAGGCTGATGGCGTCTACATATTTAGTCGTGCAGATGTTTTTGGGACAGGGTGGTGTATAAACACGGCAGTTTAGTAGCATACATTCCAAAGAGCTGAGCAACGGAGTAAACACGTTAAGGCATTGCTTGTCGACACTTGGCATTCCATGCATGGTCTGTGGGAACAACTTTTGACATATTGATGCCCTGTGCTACAGTACAGAATGCCTCGGAAAGCAGATGTGGTGAATATATGTGCGGGTTCTACTTGCGCACAGGCGTCGGCGCAACATTCTTTAACCGCGTGCTGTACGAGGAGCAAGCAGAGTATTTCGACATGGTGCGGCGTGTTGAGTGTTACACGAACATATTACGGAACACGTGCAGCTTTGGAGTGTCTGACCACATCCTAAAGCACGCTTTCGTCTCGCTTACAGGGTTGCTCATGTTAGTTTTTCACTCCGATGAGCTAACAACGCGTATGCCGGCTTTAGGCCAAAGCGATGAAACCGACTTCACAGACGTCGAACCCGCGGCACTCCGCAAGACAACATGGAGGGACCAAGGGGGCCAGCTGGGGCGGCCCTCGTCATCTTCCAAGCACCCGGGAAACTGAGTTCCCTTTCGCCAGGGGAAGCAAACGAAGCTCCCAAAATTACTTTTGGCTGTACAGACGCCTTTTGCAATTCTGCTGGGTAGCAGCTGTTCTCGCGCTGTGAATGGGCTGATCCCACAGCTCAGGGTGGTATGCACATGTTTGCACAGGTCTGCTTCAGTGCTAAAGGAGATGCTTTTACCCCTCACAGTGATTCTGTTTGCGCCTCTATATCCTATTGCGAACTGTGCTGTTCGTAGTAAGTGGAGGCACGAGTTGTAGGTGACAAAATTATAGCCGTGTAGGTAAGCCTGAGGCAACAACGTAGGCGACGGCGAATCTCGACTGTTCGGGTAATTCGGCACTGCTGGAAGGCGCATATATGCATGTGCAACAACGGGAGAAAGTGCAACAACTTGGGCTACGGCCCGAAGCTGGCGCATTTAGGCGGCAAAGCTTGAGCGTAAAAAACCTGTTACGAGAAAATGACTCGCCACTACAGTGTGCATCTTTCTAGATGCTGCCCCGCACTGGGCAAGCCCCATTTCCCTCTAAGCACTCAGGTACAGAAGTGAGTGCTGAGATCAACGGTCTTTCGGCTGTACGAAGTAAATGACGTCTGGGGCAACAAGGCAACGGTGTGTATGGAGGCCATCTATGCTTCAGCAGCCGCCCAGCCAGAGTGAATGTCATATAACTGCTAGTTGGCTTGGGGCAGGGAGTTGTTTCTGCCTGCTTTTTGGCGCGCCTTCAGCACCTGACCGGCGACGACGCTGAATGCGCTTTCGTTGTTGCTGACGGTGGTGTATTTCGCAGCGCTTTTCGCTGCTGGGCAGGCATTAGCAACTGCCACAGAAATCCCTGCCAATCCGAGCACTTCAATGTCGTTTTCGCCGTCTCCCATGGCAAGCAGTTGACTGGGGGTCAGGTTGAGGTGCGTCAGCAGCACCTTGGCGCCCACAGCTTTCGAGACAGAGGGGTTTATGAATTCAAGGTTCCAGTCAAGAGGGCGCACGCAGCGCAGGTGCTCACCTACAGCTTTTTCCAAGATCGGACGCGCCTTATCTGTGGACTCTACACTTCCGCAAGCTACCAACTTCACGAATCGTGTGGCGGCGAACTCTTCGTAAGGTAGCACCTCCGCGGCAGGTTCTCTGAATACCAAGCAATTTTTTTCTGTGTAGGAGTTCTTTTCGATACAAAGGACACGATCAGCAGTGTATCCTAGGACGTTCTGCAAGATTCCCATGTCTTTCATCTTAGCCAGCAACATTGATTGGGCGGGCAGGGGTATTTCGGTACACGAGAGGATTTTCCCGTCTTGACCATACACCACACCACCATTGAGAAATACCCCAGGAAACCCATTGTACTTCATCAGCCCTTGGTGAGCCGGAGAGAGACAAGAGAGTGTTCCTCCTCTAGATCGCCCACTGGCAATAGCCGTCACGACACCGGCTGCCGCGACTTGACCGAAAGCCTCAGCGTTTGCATCAGATACATTATGGTCAGAATCAAGAAAAGTGTAGTCGAAATCTGATAAAATGAGCTTTACCTCCTCGAGGTCAACGCAAGTTGAGATATCCATGGCCACTAGAGCACGTTGGAACTACAATGGAATATTGACGCCGCTGAGAACCATGCCAAAAATAATCCTTGGCTATTTTTGTGGTAGCCTCACGATAGAAAAAATGACAATTAAAGCTGCAACCAAGCTTCTAAAGATGGAGAAGTACAAGGTAACCGTTGACAGCCGCAACGCGCTGTGCTCACTGCCACGGTCATCATAGTGGGGTGTTGATTTGTAATCCACCGCCCACATTAGGCGACTCCGCCCTTCGTCTTATAGCACCACAGCAACAAGGTTAAGTGTTAGTAATTCAATTTCGGGCATATATTTGAATAGAGAATTTCTCTTTGGGCCTGATCCTTGTCGGTATTTGGACACGGGCAGGGGAGCTGTTGCTCCCGTACGTCTTGTGTTCGGCTCTCCACTAAATTTGCAGTTATGGATAACGTGAACCTGCATCTAATTTGCAAACACGTTCGTTTGGAAGTATATGTACAGCAAGTGGAATGGCGTTGCTGCCCGATTGTGTCGCGGACGAATTGCTAGATATGGATCCATTCCGGGTAGGAAGATGGGAAAGTGAAGTTTTTGGTGGGCAGCGGCAGGCCTTTGCTGCTTGCTACATTTGTGCTTAATAATACACCAACTGGGCATCCCTGTCGTAAGCAGATAAGGACAGGGTCGGGTCACTCTTACGCGCGTAGAAGCACAACGGAACAGCGACGGTCTGTGGTTTTCGAGTTTCCCATCACCATTTCCCGCCTAGAGGAGGCCTGCAGCAGAAGATCCTGAATGCTGAGAAGAGCGGAACTTTGGCTGATATTTCCAGCGGTTTCTCGGTAGGTCACTGAGAGCGCACAAGGAGAACAGTGCGAAGAGAGTCCAAGACAAGAACATGGTTGCTACGGCGGAGGCCTCGCTAAACATATTCCTAGAAAGCCCACAGTGGTGGCCCCGAAACAAATCGGAAACATCATGTGGGTCAGCAGAAGTGCCCGCACAGTGTAATGCTCGAGAGGCTTCTCACGATCGCCTCCAGCAGCTCCGCCTCTTTCTCTCTGAAGCTTCCTTCGAGACAGTTGGCGGGAAAGCAATTGAGGAAAACACGCCGGTTGAAGAAAAGCGTGAGACCTCGTGCCAAGCATCTCTTTGCATGGACAATCGCCGTAGGCTTTCGCAAATTAAAGATGTTCCTCCTTGTTTTGCCCCCTTTACCCGCTTTAACTGTAATGTGACTCTAGTTGCTCAGAGGCTCTTCAACGTAGCAATGGGGGTCTCAGTCCTTTGCAGCGGGACTGCAACTATTGAAGAAAGCCGAGAAAGCTTTGCTCTGCAGATGTGGAAAGACGCGAAGCCAGGAGAAGTTGCCTACGTTCGGCATGTCATGCTTACCGCGCCTGAGTGCAGGTATGAGCGGCAGCAACTCCTTTCCGGTGATCCCTTTTCTTACGGCTTTCTGGTGGCCCGCCTTGAATATCTTTCCCCGCAGGTTCGCGATCTCGTGCTGTCAGAAAGGCTGCCCTTTGGCGCCATTCTGGACCGCTGTGGAGTCCGACGCTCCGTAGAAACCGATCGCCAGCTGCACGTACACCTGAGAAGCGATTTTTTCGACGTAAACAAAAAACTGCCTCTTCCTAAAAAGCATGGCGGCTCACTACAGGACGCCGACGGAGAGGCGCTGCAGGGGAAGGACTTAAGGTGTCGCGCTCTCCAGACTTGCGGCGAATGCCAGTGCAAAATTTTACCTAAGGGTTCCTGTTGCACATTTGGTCGGTTGACAACTGTTTGGTGCGATGGGAAGCCTGCAGCGCGCGTAGTTGAAATCCTTAACGAAAGATTTGTGCTGCGTTCTCTTATGAAAGAAAAGCAGCAACTGCTTGGGAAGAGTGGAGAGAACGCAGCTCCGCCTGCTGCAGAGGCTGGAACGGGCTCTGCTGGCAAAGCTTTCCAGTCTCGGTTTGCTTTTCTTCTCGGGCGGTGTCTTATGTCGGTGGCGCTGTGTCCCGCGCACTGCAAACTCCTCCCCAGCCCCCATGTGAATGCGCGAAGTCTGCTGCGTGTCAAGAACTCCGGCGATAATTGTAGTCTTTGTGGAAGCAAGAGCTGCTCAACGGATTTCCACTCCGCATACACTGCAGACCTTCGCTGAGGGAGGCTAATGAAACGCTTTAGCATTCACTTACGCGTTTATCTTCAATGCATGTGCTGGCAACGCACGCGTATTGGTGAACGTGGCTTGCGTATCGGACAAGCCGAGTGTACGTTTCAATATGTTGAGACTTGGGCGAAGATCCGAAACGTTGCAATAAGTAGTCTATTCGGTACTCACTGTGGGCGCATGCTCCGCTTCGCACGCCCCGCACTGCTTTGCTCTGCATTCCCAGGATGCAATTGGTTCAAGTACTGTGAAAACCACTCCAGCAAATTGCGTGAAGATCATTCTTTGCGCGACGGCCACTACGGGGCAAGCCGCTTTACGTATACTGCATTTAGGCTTGCCTCCCAGCCAGAGGGAACATGGGGATCGCCCTGAGGAGACAGAACCAAACGAAAGGCGTCGTTGGCCTCGAGCTTGGTGGAGTCCTACGAAGCAGCTGCGTGCTCTCTCGCAAGCGAGCGGGGTCCGTGACTATGTGCCTGTGCTGCAGCATTTATTATAGTGCCATATTGTGTAGGGTTCGCTCTAATCTGGTCGTTCTTTTGTGCTCATGCTTCCCTTTTGAGAAAAACTCTAGGGTGTTACTGCTCGTAACCATTCGAAAAAGATGCACTTGGGCGCACTGGGCTGTTGACGCTCCTTGAATGGGTGAATGCTTCAGAAAGAGTTCACAACGGGGACAACTTCCAACTGGGGTATTTTTGACACCAGCCGTTCCAAAACTGCTTTGGCACATTGCTCTTGTGCCAAAAGCCCATTCAGGACTTGGGTAAATATGGCCTCCAAGTATTATGCATTCCGGCTCTAGTCAGGATTTATTAGGGAGTAACTCGGATCTAGCTGGCTGTGGAATCAACGCGTGGTAACACGCTGTTAAGAGGACGTTGAGATGATTACTTTTCCTGATGGTCTCGCACCTTCAAAACTTAGCAGGTGAAATATCCTCTTGGTGGAGCCCTTTTTGCGATATAGAGAAAAGCATCCAAGGCCCCGTGACTAAACCAGACCGGACCGCAGCGACGGCAGCGATTAGTTCCACCAGTTGAGAATTTACATTATTCTGTGGTAGATTTTGGGGGCATGTACAGTTATTTTCAAACAGGCCTTTTTGATAGGAAGTAGTTTTCACTGTTCGGTGGTATCGCGCCGGACCATGAGAGGCATCAGTGGCCCCCATCCCGAGCAGGTCCACAGCAGGTTCTTGACGATTGAAGCTTCAGCAGTTACTGGCGCCTAATTAGAAACGTGGGAATATCTTATGTAAGGGTTTCTTGCTTCATGCTGCTGCACGATTAGGCAGCAGAGTAAGCCTGGGGAGCCGCGTCGGTGGTGCCACGAGTTTCGGCTTACTGTACTTAGGCAGCTTGACGTGTGCGCCATTCCGAAGCCTTCTCTAAAACGCTTGTCCAATGAGTTTAGCCCAAGAGGAGCAGCGCCATCTACAGAGGAGCGCAGGACCTGCAAAAAGCAGTACAGACTCTGCCAGAGACCGCCCGCTTTCCGTCAATGAGCTGACTCCGTCCGGTGTACACACAGGAAGTGAGGTTTATTCAGTGGATCGAAGCTCCTCACAGGCGTCAGGTGGGAGGAACCCTGAGGGTTTGCCTGGGCACACGCCGGGCCCCAACGTTGAATGGCCTAGAGGCCGGCCACGCAATGCAATATCACGCATCGGTTACCTAGATGATGCATGTGAAGCCTCCACAATTGTGCCCGATGGAAGGGAGACTGTGGAGCTCAAGAGCAGTTCTGCCGACCATATGGCGAAGCTTCGCATCCAAAGCGCCGCCTCAAGCCCAATGGGAACTCCACGGGATGTAAAGGGTAGCCGTGCGATGTCTCGGCAACGAGTTCAGCAACTACATTTGGCAGTTCCAACTTCAGTGTAAGCGTCCGTCTCCTTTTCTACAGACCGAAATTTGTGACTTTTGCACCGATGCAAATGTTTCTGCTGGGTGGGTTGCTAGTTTAGGTGGTCTGGTGCGATTTGCGGCTCTGATTCAGGGGCCACATCCGGCCTAGGGCGAAGCCAGTAGAACCTCATAGAGACGCAACCCTTTCTCCCTCAAGTGCAAATTCGAGACCTGCAGCTCTTAGTCGCGTGACGACAGTCCATGACACCAGTCGGAGCCCTATAAGTGGAGCAGATACTCTTAACTTGCTTCGCCAGGAGGGATCTTCGGTTCACCTGCCTAAACAGACTATTGAAGCCGAAAGGGACATCGGTTTTGTCTCGGAGCACCCAGATGCCACAGAAGTCTCCCAAAGAAGCGCTATCCATGAGTCGCAGCCTCCTTCGCCTGCCCAAGGAGACACGCGAGCCTCGTTAGGTGGCCTTAAGACGCCAACAGCCCCAAGCAGTGAGGGGAGCTGGCATCGAGAGAAAGAAGCAACTGAAAGCGCAGCCACAGGGACAGAGGGGATGAAAACTGTAGAGGGTGAAGTTCCAGCTCCACATACTCTTCCTGCCAGGGCGGTGGCTGTGCAAAAAGCGGTCGCCGAAGTCTTTGCTGCTGAAAATGAGAGGCGAGCGGCTGCGTTAGCCTCAAGGATCAGCTCTAGGACAATATCCCGTGCAGAAGGCTCAGCCGAACTGAAGCGCTTTGAGCAGAGATCAGATGTCGCAGAGGCAGCAGCTGAACAACTGCGAAGAATGGAGGCAGCGAGGGCCGCCACGTCCGAGCCACTGGTGGTAAGGAGAAAGCACTTTACTATTTTTCGCTTGAAGGGATAGTGTTCCGGTGCAGAGGCGACTCTTAATCAGCGTTTACTGGGGGCTTTGTGGGAAGCCATTGACTAAGTGATGGGCAGTACATGTCCTTGCTAAGCCTTAAATGCTGCATTGTGCAGTGCTCTCTGCTTTGCGTTTGCAATCAGGGAAGCAGAACGCAGGAGAGCACGTCTAGAAATGCCGATCAGAAACTGAAAAGTGGTGCCTTTCCTTCAGACCACGACGGCGGCAAGGAGAGGGTAAATCATATTGAGAAAACGTCTGTTCCGACGCCGCCCACGGCACCAAACCAAGACAGCTCACCTGCTGGTCGTAAGGCCGAGCATGCGGTAAGCCTTTTGGTCTCATTTTTCTGCATGCACTGCTGGCAGTCTGCGTCAGCTTCAGCTGCAAGCAGTTCTTCACTTGCTCAATTGTCAGCTAGAGTCTGCGTGGATTTGTTTCATGAGCAGGTTGCGGATTCCGCACATTTGTATGGCCCCCGCATGCCACAACACATTCACGAAGCACAACACGAGTTGACTGTGGCCGCTGAAGTGGACGAACAACGTCGACTTGCAGCAGTTGTGTCCCGTGCCCGCTCTCGGATTGTATCGAGAGCCGAGGCATCTGCTGGTTTGGACCGTTTTGCAGACCGCGCAGATGTTGCAAAAGCGGCAGCGGAGCAGCTGCGCAAAATGGAAGCAGCTTCAAGAAAAAAGGTAAAACGGGCGACTCAAGCTTTACTCTGTCCTCAGCGGCAACCAAAGCGTGAAAGTTAGGGCTTCATGAGGAGCAATTTAACTAGTATATGCTCAGCTTCAATCGACTATTTGTCCCTCAGTGTACAAAATTGCTCTGAAGTCCTGCCGGGGCGGTGTGACGCTGAACAGTTGGATAACTTATGCGAACGAAGTAGAGTCTAGCACCGTACTTCTGCTGTTCGGTGGCCTGCAGGTTCTGGACATCCCATCACCGCCCTCTCTGGAGATTAAGGCCATGGAAGAAGTGAGTCATTTAAGCATATAGAAGCAATTTTACAGAATAGATTATATGGCGTGTGATGGTGCTGGGATACTGAATCCTCAGTAGTCTATGACGAGCGAGCTAATCGTGTGTTAAGCTGGCTTGTAAGCTTGGTCATATTAGGTGTAGAAAGTGGGTGCCAGATTGTGTCCTGTTGCCTCTTCAGGCAGCAAAGAAGATTCAAGCGGTATGGCGAGGAAACAGACTGCGGATTTGGGTGACTGCCGCACGTGCCGTTGCCCTTTTTTCCAGACCTGCAGTGCCTCTCAATAGGGAACACGCTTTGAGGATAAGTCAGCGCAGAGGTTTATCTCCACTACGGCTGCCCCAAAATATCAGGGCGGCGGGTTGCTAGCGAAAAAAGCGGTGATGCTTATGCACGGGTGGCTGGCACTGCCAAACCGAGCTAGTGCTGAGGTTTGATGAGCCTCTCTTCGAGTTGCAGTCAGTTCTAGAACTCTGTAGAAGCTTTCTGGGAAGGAGAATAAAGCAAAACTGTCCCCCGTTTTTGATAATTGGGCGCTCGCCTGAAACGACATTTACGTCCCTCGTGTCGGCGAAGTGCCCCGGTGCTAGGTGCACTTACAGTGCTTGCTTTTTTCGGTCATAAGGACCGTTGTAGTCATAACTAATTTGCCTGTAAAAACGTTTGCCAAAGCCAACCATTAAAAAGCAAGCGCTGACCGTTTGGTGTGCGGTTGACCGCTGTGCAGACGGAAACGTGTGCATCGCCGGTTAGCTCTATTTGCACTCTTCGTTGCTCGATGGATGCAAGGACTAATGCAGAAGCACAAAGCTGCTACGAGTTGCTTTTCCGGAATGTGTCAGTGCACTGCACCTCTGCGGGCAACTCGCCAACTACAGGTACAAATGAGAAGCCTAGCGAACAGTGTTGCTTTTATTCTGAAGTAGCCACTGCACTAGAGATACTAGTGATGCGTGCAAAGTAGGAGGAGCCAAGGCTCCAGTTGTATAGTGCTTTTTCGAGCTTACGGCTTGCCGCAGCTGAGAAACGCTTGCCCCGTAGAGGCGAGGCAAGAGCGGGGATACGCCGTGGCATCTCCAAGTTCATGGAAGTCAGCTCGTTGCATCCAGGAAGCTTCACACGGCGGAAGTCTTGGCTTGTTCGCAGTTTGTCGTCGATTACTTCCAGTCTAGCCCCCAGTGCGAATTGCGGCAAATGTACACTATTCTCGCCTGTTTCGCCCATAGATTGTTCGGCTGGTCCGGCAGTCGCCACCTGACACTGCAATACAATTTGCTCCTTAAGAGCCCGTGCACGACCCGCCATTCAGCGAAAACTGGGCTGCCAAGGCGTTTCACCAAAGGAATCCTTAACTGATTGAAACTGTGCTATTTGACGTTTAGGCGGGAGCCACGATGCTTCCCTGGTGCTCTTCTCCCCTGTGGTTTCCCCCAAGGAAAGATCCACTTCGGACGTATCGAGCAGTCCAGCAAAGAGTGCGACAGCTGAAGCACTAAAAGAGCAGATGTCGCCTGGAATTAGACGTCTCACGCACTCTGCTGCTGAGCGCCCCATTGGTGGGGAAAGAACACAGCATATAAACACGCACCTGCCCATGGGAAGGAGGGAAAGAACTGTCAGCTTGTTTAGGCTAAGAAATCAGGTTAGCGGTTCAAGCGGCGAGCCAGAAGAGCCCCTTCGCCTGCGGGAGGAAGTTGCAAGTGAACCATTTCGGGAATGCCTGGAGAGCATAGCCGCCACCATGTCGCGAATGTCGAGAAGTGAAACTCATCACTTCAACCCGGTTCCCAATTCATCTGAGTCGAGTAGTAACTCAGGTGAGAAGACACCAAGACGGGGACGGGGCTGCCTGCGCTCCTCTCCTGACTCCTTTCCCATTCCTCTACATAATTCTTGCCTTCCTTTTGCATCTGCTGCTACTTACTTGACAGAAACGTCTGAAAGGGTTCCTTTCATTGGTAACACAGTGCGGCGTGCAGTAGGTGAGGAAGATGCCACTGCTTTTGAAGAAACTCACGTCAATACTGGTGAGGCGCGCACCGTACACGCGACCTTTGAGTCCACAAAACCTCAAGGGCAAACCGGACAGTCACCACGGCAGATGAACAGCCACGCTTCCCCTGTGAGCCCACTTCAGTTACCACGCCTTAATTTGTTTTGGCTCAAGAAAGAGCCCCGTTGGGTGACACATCCCCGTCACGAAGATGAAATTTCAAGAGCGAGCAGTGAAGATTCAGCTTTTACTCAAGATCGCCACACCTCCCACCTCAGTCGAATGGACGAACGTTGTCGTGAGGTCATCAATGATTTGTCACAGACTCAAATACGGGACGTTGATGATGCCAGGATTGACCTTAGCAACACGCCAAGCTCAGCCTCTTTATCTGTGAGTTCACAGAGCTCCTCGCGGGGACCTATTGAAGGCAGTGCTTCATGCATTACGGGCAAGCAGCAGACCGATCCGCTGGAATTGTCACACTTCACCGCAGACAGAGAACTTCAAAAGGAAGATGAACTATCCCCCTTATCACGAGCATTACATCTTTTAGAGTCCGGCCAGCAAGCACACGTATCTTCCCAACTGACCGCACAACAAAAGCACGCAACACCAATTTCAGACGTTGAACGTACAGGTGGTGAGGGAGGGAAGGAGACGGGTGCAGGAGTTGTGGGCAAGGCGAAGACAGCAGGGCCT